TACTACACAGATCAATAGTGTCCTGATATTATATACACTACTACACAGATCACTAGTGTCCTTACATTGTATACACTACTACACAGATCACTAGTGTCCTTACATTGTATACACTACTATACAGATCACTAGTGTCCTTACATTGTATACACTACTACACAGATCACTAGTGTCCTTACATTGTATACACTACTACACAGATCACTAGTGTCCTTACATTGTATACACTACCACACAGATCACTAGTGTCATGACATTGTATACACTACTACACAGATCACTAGTGTCCCCTACATTGTATACACTACTACACAGATCACTAGTGTCTTGATATTGTATACACTACTTCACAGATCACTAGTGTCCCCTACATTGTATACACTACTACACAGATCACTAGTGTCTTGATATTGTATACACTACTACACAGATCACTAGTGTCCCCTACATTGTATACACTACTACACAGATCACTAGTGTCTTGATATTGTATACACTACTACACAGATCACTAGTGTCATTACATTGTATACACTACTACACAGATCACTAGTGTCCCCTACATTATATACACTACTACACAGATCACTAGTGTCCCCTACATTGTATACACTACTACACAGATCACTAGTGTCCTTACATTGTATACACTACTGCACAGATCACCAGTGTCCTTACATTGTATACACTACAACACCGATCACTAGTGTCCCCTATATTGTATGCACTACTAAACAGATCACTAGTGTCCCCTACATTGTATACACTACTACACAGATCACTAGTGTCCTTACATTATATACACTACTACACAGATCACTAGTGTCCTTACATTGTATACACTACTACACAGATCACTAGTATCCCCTACATTGTATACACTACTACACAGATCACTAGTGTCCCCTACATTGTATACACTACTACACAGATCACTAGTGTCCCCTACATTGTATACACTACTACACAGATCACTAGTGTCTTGATATTGTATACATTACTACACAGATCACTAGTGTTCTTACATTGTATACACTACTACACAGATCACTAGTGTCCCCTACATTGTATACACTACTAAACAGATCACTAGTGTCCCCTACATTGTATACACTACTACACAGATCACTAGTGTCTTGATATTGTATACATTACTACACAGATCACTAGTGTTCTTACATTGTATACACTACTACACAGATCACTAGTGTTCTTACATTGTATACACTACTACACAGATCACTAGTGTCCCCTACATTGTATACACTACTAAACAGATCACTAGTGTCCCCTACATTGTATACACTACTACACAGATCACTAGTGTCTTGATATTGTATACATTACTACACAGATCACTAGTGTTCTTACATTGTATACACTACTACACAGATCACTAGTGTCCCCTACATTGTATACACTACTAAACAGATCACTAGTGTCCCCTACATTGTATACACTACTGCACAGATCACTAGTGTCCCCTACATTATATACACTATTACACAGATCACTAGTGTCCTTACATTGTATACACTACTACAAAGATCATTAGTGTCCCCTACATTGTATACACTACTACACAGATCACTAGTGTCCCCTACATTGTATACACTACTACACAGATCACTAGTGTCCTTACATTGTATACACTACTACACAGATCACTAGTGTCCTTACATTGTATACACTACTGCACAGATCACTAGTGTCCCCTACATTATATACACTACTACACAGATCACTAGTGTCCTTACATTGTATACACTACTACAAAGATCATTAGTGTCCCCTACATTGTATACACTACTACACAGATCACTAGTGTCCCCTACATTGTATACACTACTACACAGATCACTAGTGTCCCCTACATTGTATACACTACTAAACAGATCACTAGTGTCCCCTACATTGTATACACTACTGCACAGATCACTAGTGTCCCCTACATTATATACACTACTACACAGATCACTAGTGTCCTTACATTGTATACACTACTACAAAGATCATTAGTGTCCCCTACATTGTATACACTACTACACAGATCACTAGTGTCCCCTACATTGTATACACTACTACACAGATCACTAGTGTCCTTACATTGTATACACTACTACACAGATCACTAGTGTCCTTACATTGTATACACTAGTACACAGATCACTAGTGTCCTTACATTGTATACACTACTACAAAGATCATTAGTGTCCCCTACATTGTATACACTACTACACAGATCACTAGTGTCCCCTACATTGTATACACTACTACACAGATCACTAGTGTCCTTACATTGTATACACTACTACACAGATCACTAGTGTCCTTACATTGTATACACTACTACACAGATCACTAGTGTCCCCTACATTATATACACTACTACACAGATCACTAGTGTCCTTACATTGTATACACTACTACACAGATCACTAGTGTTCTTACATTGTATACACTACTACACAGATCACTAGTGTCATTACATTGTATACACTACTACACAGATCACTAGTGTCCCCTACATTGTATACACTACTACACAGATCACTAGTGTCCCCTACATTGTATACACTACTACACAGATCACTAGTGTCCTTACATTGTATACACTACTACACAGATCACTAGTGTCCCCTACATTGTATACACTACTACACAGATCACTAGTGTCCCCTACATTGTATACACTACTACACAGATCACTAGTGTCCTTACATTGTATACACTACTACACAGATCACTAGTGTCCCCTACATTGTATACACTACTAAACAGATCACTAGTGTCCTTACATTGTATACACTACTACACAGATCACTAGTGTCCCCTACATTGTATACACTACTACACAGATCACTAGTGTCCCCTACATTGTATACACTACTACACAGATCACTAGTGTCCCCTACATTGTATACACTACTACACAGATCACTAGTGTCCCCTACATTGTATACACTACTACACAGATCACTAGTGTTCTTACATTGTATACACTACTACACAGATCACTAGTGTCATTACATTGTATACACTACTGCACAGATCACTAGTGTCCCCTACATTATATACACTACTACACAGATCACTAGTGTCCCCTACATTGTATACACTACTACACAGATCACTAGTGTCCTTACATTGTATACACTACTACAAAGATCATTAGTGTCCCCTACATTGTATACACTACTACACAGATCACTAGTGTCCCCTACATTGTATACACTACTACACAGATCACTAGTGTCCCCTACATTGTATACACTACTACACAGATCACTAGTGTCCTTACATTGTATACACTACTACACAGATCACTAGTGTCCTTACATTGTATACACTACTACACAGATCACTAGTGTCCTTACATTGTATACACTACTACACAGATCACTAGTGTCCCCTACATTGTATACACTACTACACAGATCACTAGTGTCCCCTACATTGTATACACTACTACACAGATCACTAGTGTCTTGATATTGTATACACTACTACACAGATCACTAGTGTCCTTTCATTGTATACACTACTACACAGATCACTAGTGTCCCCTACATTGTATACACTACTACACAGATCACTAGTGTCCTTACATTGTATACACTACTACACAGATCACTAGTGTCCCCTACATTGTATACACTACTACACAGATCACTAGTGTCCCCTACATTGTATACACTACTACACAGATCACTAGTGTTCTTACATTGTATACACTACTACACAGATCACTAGTGTCCCCTACATTGTATACACTACTACACAGATCACTAGTGTCTTGATATTGTATACACTACTACACAGATCACTAGTGTCCTTACATTGTATACACTACTACACATATCACTAGTGTCCCCTACATTGTATACACTACTACACAGATCACTAGTGTCCCCTACATTGTATACACTACTACACAGATCACTAGTGTCTTGATATTGTATACACTACTACACAGATCACTAGTGTCCTTACATTGTATACACTACTACACAGATCACTAGTGTCCCCTACATTGTATACACTACTACACAGATCACTAGTGTCCTTACATTGTATACACTACTACACAGATCACTAGTGTCCCCTACATTGTATACACTACTACACAGATCACTAGTGTCCCCTACATTGTATACACTACTACACAGATCACTAGTGTTCTTACATTGTATACACTACTACACAGATCACTAGTGTCCCCTACATTGTATACACTACTACACAGATCACTAGTGTCTTGATATTGTATACACTACTACACAGATCACTAGTGTCCTTACATTGTATACACTACTACACATATCACTAGTGTCCCCTACATTGTATACACTACTACACAGATCACTAGTGTCTTGATATTGTATACACTACTACACAGATCACTAGTGTCCTTACATTGTATACACTACTACACAGATCACTAGTGTCCCCTACATTGTATACACTACTACACAGATCACTAGTGTCCTTACATTGTATACACTACTACACAGATCACCAGTGTCCTTACATTGTATATACTACTACACAGATCACTAATCACAGGAACTTCATACTTTGTATATGGATTCACCTTGGTCAGGTGGTTTGTCCTAGTTGGGAACTGTAATTCAATCAATTTTTTTTATATTGATAGCTTAAACCTTATTTACATGTATTTTACAATAATTGTGAAACAAGCTCAAAGCTTATATTTATCACTGATGCTGGCTCAAATGGAAGCATGTGGAGGGTTTTCCTGTCTGGAATATCCTGTGAAAACCCATGTAGTCAGGCAGGGGATCCCATACCTAATCACATCTGGTCTGGGAATCTAACCCCAGACAGTAAGGAGAAAGGTTAGTGTGTTACCACTGTACCACCCAACCACTTATAACTATGTCATAAACAACTAGATGATTGCAAGCATATGCAATGTAGATTGTGTTCAGATGAATTTACTGATATAAGTACACAAACAATCCATTGGGATTTTCCAGGTTCAGGGGTCAGACTTCTATAGCCATCCAAGAGTGTCACCTGATGGAAAAACTCTGGCCTGGATACAATGGGATCATCCAAACATGGTTTGTATTCTAGACAGATTTAAGCTCTTTACTATGTTATACTGGTGTTATTCCTATGTAACAAATCTACATTAATTATGGAAATTAATGTCACACAGCTATTCAGTACACCACGGTTTATGAACATCACTAATTCAGAAAAAGATGTCAAAGATGAGACACATAAAGGTCTGGCATAACTCACTCTCCCTTACAAGTGTTAAGGTGGAAAATAGCAATCTGTACCTAACCACAGTGGTTGCCATTTTGTTTTGTCCTGACCATCAATTTGTTTACTCCTTGACATCTTGGGATCAGATTGTAGCATTTATCTCTCTTGCCCCAACAAGGTGGTATTGGTTTGGTATAGATTTACAAGGTGTTGATGCACCAGGCCAGTCAATGTCATGTTCCTGTATTCTAATCAGTGATAGTTCCTGTATTCTAAGCAGTGATATGTTCCTGTATTCTAATCAGTGATATGTTCCTGTATTCTAATAAGTGATATGTTCCTGTATTCTAATAAGTGATATGTTCCTGTATTCTAATAAGTGATATGCTCCTGTATTCTAATCAGTGATATGTTCTTGTATTCTAATCAGTGATATGTTCCTGTATTCTAATAAGTGATATGTTCCTGTATTCTAATAAGTGATATGTTCTTGTATTCTAATAAGTGATATGCTCCTGTATTCTAATCAGTGATATGTTCTTGTATTCTAATCAGTGATATGCTCCTGTATTCTAATCAGTGATATGTTCTTGTATTCTAATCAGTGATATGTTCTTGTATTCTAATAAGTGATATGTTCCTGTATTCTAATCAGTGATATGTTCCTGTATTCTAATCAGTGATATGTTCCTGTATTCTAATCAGTGTTATGTTCCTGTATTTTAATCAGTGATCTGATGTAACATGGTATTGTGAAGCATGGGGACATGAACCAGGATCAAAATAGCATAATTGAGAAATGAATCCCCCCCCCCCCCCCCATTGGTAAAGTGAATCCACTTTATATTTTGTCTTCAATTGCTGTTCACCATAATGGTGAAATGAACTGTGGTTCACTTTACCATGGGCTTCACTTTACCATACTACACCAGTATTGACAACAGTTGCTGTATATATGGATATTGTTGATATGTTCAAGCCATGGGACACCACTGAATTGTGGATTGCTGATTTGAATGAGGCTGGTGATGGGATCAGTGGTGCAAGACAGGTTAGTATCGGGATCAGTGGAGCAAGACAGGTTAGTATTGTGATCAGTGGTGTGAGACAGGTTAGTATCGGAACCAGCGGTATGAAACAGATTATCATAGGCATCAGTGGTATGAGACAGGTTAGTGTTGGCATCAGTGGTGTGAGACAGGTTAGTGTTGGCATCAGTGGTGTGAGACAGGGTAGTATCGGAACCAGCGGTATGAAACAGCTTATCATAGGCATCAGTGGTGTGAGACAGGTTAGTATCGGAACCAGCGGTATGAAACAGATTATCATAGGCATCAGTGGTGTGAGACAGGTTAGTGTTGGTATCAGTGGTGTGAGACAGGTTAGTGTTGGTATCAGTGGTGTGAGACAGGTTAGTGTTGGTATCAGTGGTGTAAGACAGGTTAGTGTTGGTATCAGTGGTGTGAGACAAGTTAGCTTTGGCATCAGTGGTGTGAGACAGGTTAGTGTTGGCATCAGTGGTGTGAGACAGGTTAGTGTTGGCATCAGTGGTGTGAGACAGGTTAGTGTTGGCATCAGTGGTGTGAGACAGGTTAGTGTTGGCATCAGTGGTGCATTACTGAATACTACACAATGAAGAAATCATGTTTGATGTTTGAAATTTGTGTGATGATTATCATCCTTCAATTCATCATTTTGTTTCATTGAATGTTTTGACAGAAAATATGACCAAGATTGCCATTGGAAGTGTAACAAGAAATTGGTTGTGTGATATTCTTTAATGCCACACTTGAATAGGAGCCTAAATTAGGACACTTACGAATCTGACCCCTACAGTTGAGAAATCTTTGCCACACCTTGAAGTTACATTCTGTCATTTGACACAATTAAATGGAACCATAGTTGTTATCCATGAGAAAAATTGTGGATTACAAAAATTTCACAGTGCCTGATATTTGAATTCTATGTGTTAACTTGTTAAATATAGCTTACTATCATTGAATAGTGGGCTAATTCAGTTGCCCTTACTCTGTCTTCCATTATCTGTTGTCAGACTGTCATCTGTCAATCTTTAAACAATTCTAGTTATTGTTATTTCTGGGGAAGCATTGAATAGATCATTCTCTTATTTGATGTGGTTTGCCTTGATCCCTAATTGTGCATAGGCTGTTTTAGGACTAATGAAAAAAAAGATGGCTTATAGGCAGTCATCCTGGTTTTTGACAATCATACCTTGTAACTGTTATTTCTGAATGCCTATAGTTATACTTATTCCATTGTGGGACTAACTGTTGAAATAAGATGGCCAACAGGTGACTAACTTTTATTTAAGTTTGTTAACATTTTGTCTTACCCCTCGGTCCCTAGTAATGCTCTTTTGATTTTTGGATTGATCAGAAGAATGGGCAGGCAGACATCTTGGATTTTGACAAGAAAAGTTTGTTATGGCTGTTTTATGAAGTAATGGATGGAGTTTTCTAAAATTTCATATATAGGTTCCCCTTGATCTTTAGTTGTGCATTTTTGATTTTGGGACTGATTCAAACAAAATGGCCAACAGGTGGCCATCTTGAATTTAGCAGTTTAAGATCCAACTGTTTAAGAACAAACAAAGATGAAACGATAGTGGGCGCCAAGATGTCGTTGGGATCTCTTGTTTTCAGTGTTTCACATACAAAGTATTGGCATAAATAGTGTGTCATTAAAAAAAAGAATTTTAGCTAATTTTGCTTGTTTAGACCAATGACAATGATTTATATTAAGATTTGTGACCCTGGTAAATACTAGTCACAATATACTGCTAAGGTAGAGAGAACTTCTCTCTTTAGCTCCACTGGTTGAATATCCAACTAGTAAGCCAGAGGACCCAGGTCCATCTCCTAGTGGAGGCATACTAACTTTATTTTCAAAAGCATGCTGTAACCCCTGGAAACCTGAGAATTATTATGTAACCTTGGTAGATAATATACTTTCAGCTAGAGAGAATTCTCTTTATCTCCATTGAATGAGCATCTAACAAGTAAACGAGAAGTCCTGGGTTTCAATCCTAGCAGAGACATTGAAATGAATAATGACCTCTGTTACATTTTGTTCAGCTTCTGGGAGTGACGATTGCAGTGTGATTGAGCCTGGTTGGACAAGAGACAGTGATTTATATTAATGTTGTCAGGTTGCCGGGGGTGATAATTGCAGCGTGATTGAGCCTGGTTGGACCACAGACAACAATTTACTGTACATAAGCGACAAGTCTGAATGGTGGAACTTATATAAGATGACCTCTGAAGGGGAGCATATTAACCTATTACCACAGGAGAAGGAGACAGGAGGTCCACACTGGGGTTTCAACTGTACATCATACAGTGTGAATCCATCAGGGAATGGTCAGGTTGCCATCAAGATGGGAGGGGTGAGTAGGCCTAATATGACGTAGATACCATATAGCGACTAATTTTCAGAGTCAAAATTTTCTCGATGTTGTTTTACATTGAACTGAATTACATTTTAATGATGTTAAATGTCTGTATTTATTTTACATATGTCTCATTTCACAGATATAGCCAAAATTAAACAGTATATGCATCATTGAGCGTCTTAATTTTGATATTTGTTGACAAGGAATTTATCAATATTTCATATATAATCAGCATACACCATTATGGATTTTCGGGAGTGTCAAAGCAATCAAAATATATGTTACATTAAGTTCTAAAGAAGATAAGATGGTTGGATTCCTGATGACTGATTCCAGACCTCAAAAAGGAATAGGAAGTATCATTAATGTTATAAGATCAAGTGTCAGACCAAAGAGAATGAATCTTCTAAAAATGAATGGACTGACCCATAGAGCCAACGGTGATGGCACTCTGACATTAAGACTTTACAAGAAGAAATTAAAAGGCAATCCAACTAATGATAGGTGACTGCCAGTCATGAACATTTCCAGTGTACTGGTTTGAAATCAGAAATCCTCCTTTATTTACAAGTTTCAGATTCGCCAATTTGTGTATCATTATTGTTTAAATAAGCTACCTTTACCCACATTCAAGATTTGATTACTGAGTTTTGAAACAGCATCGTGAAACAAAATGAAATGAGAGAGCATTGATTGTTTTGTAATGTATAAAAACTTTGTAATGACTGAAATAAATACTGCTTTCAACTTAGGAGCTTGGAATATTGGATCTGAAGACAAAAGTGTACGATGTGATTGATAAAAGGTTTGCTTCTTACCGCTTCATCAACTTCACAACAAATGGCGATATTTTCTGTTATGGAGCCAGTTCAACACATTTTCCCTGTATTGTCCATATACAGTCCAATGATAACAAGGTAGGTACAGTCCAATGACAACAAGATAGGTACAGTCCAATGACAACAAGGTAGGTACAGTCCAATGACAACAAGGTGGGTACAGTCCAATGACAACAATGTAGGTACAGTACAGTGACAACAATGTAGGTACAATCCAAGGACAACAAGGTAGGTACAGTCTAGTGACAACAAGGTAGGTACAGCCCAGAAATAACAAGGTGGGTACAGTCCAATGACAACAAGGTAGGTACAGTCCAGTGACAACAAGGTAGGTACAATCCAATGACAACAAGGTGGGTACAGCCCAGTGACAACAATGTAGGTACAGCCCAGTGACAACAATGTAGGTACAGTCCAATGACAACAATGTAGGTACAGTCCAGTGACAACAATGTAGGTACAATCCAATGACAACAAGGTAGGTACAGTCTAGTGACAACAAGGTAGGTACAGCCGAGTGACAACAAGGTAGATATAGCTCAATGACAACAAGGTGGGTACAGTCCAATGATAACAAGGTAGGTATAGCTCAATGACAACAAGGTAGGTACAGTCCAATGATAACAAGGTGGGTACAGTCCAATGACAACAAGGTAGGTACAGTCCAATGACAACAAGATAGGTACAGTCCAATGACAACAAGGTGGGTACAGTCCAATGACAACAAGGTGGGTACAGTCTGATGACAACAAGGTGGGAACAGCCCTGTAATAACAAGGTAGGTACAGTCCAATGACAACAAGGTGGGTACAGTCCAATGACAACAAGGTAGGTACAGTCCAATGATAGCAAGGTGGGTACAGTCCAGTGACAACAAGGTGGGTACAGTCCAATGACAACAGGGTGGGTACAGTCCAATGACAACAAGGTAGGTACAGTCCAATGACAACAAGGTAGGTACAGCCCAGTGACAACAAGATAGGTACAGTCCAATGACAACAAGGTGGGTACAGCCCAGTAACAACAAGGTAGGTACAGTCCAATGACAACAAGGTAGGTACAGTCCAGTGACAACAAGGTAGGTACAGTCCAGTGACAACAAGGTGGGTACAGTCCAATGACAACAAGGTGGGTACAGTCCAATGACAACAAGGTGGGTACAGTCCAATGACAACAATGTGGGTACAGTCAAGTGACAACAAGGTAGGTACAGTCCAATGAAAACAAGGAGGGAACAGCCATGTAAAAACAAGGTGGGTACAGTCCAATGACAACAAGGTGGGTACAGTCCAATGACAACAAGGTGGGTACAGACTAATGATAACAAGGTGGGTACAGTTCAGTGACAACAAGGTGGGTACAGTCCAATGACAACAGGGTGGGTACAGTCCAATGACAACAATGTAGGTACAGCCCAGTAACAACAAGGTAGGTACAGTCCAATGACAACAAGGTAGGTACAGTCCAATGACAACAAGGTAGGTACAGTCCAGTGACAACAAGGTAGGTACAGTCCAGTGACAACAAGGTGGGTACAGTCCAATGACAACAAGGTCGGTACAGTCCAATGACAACAAGGTGGGTACAGTCCAATGACAACAAGGTAGGCATAGTTCAATGACAACAATGTAGGTACAGTCCAGTGACAACAAGGTGTGTACATTCCAATGACAACAAGGTGGGTACAGCCCACTGACAACAAGGTGGATACAGCCCAGTGACAACAAGGTAGGTACAGCCAAGTGACAACAAGATGGTTACAGCCCAGTAACAACAAAGTGGGTACAGCCAAGTGACAACAAGGTAGGTACTGTCCAGTGACAACAAGGTGGGTACAATCCAATGACAACAAGGTAGGTACAGTCCAATGACAACAAGGTAGGTACAGTCCAGTGACAACAAGGTGGGTACAGTCCAATGACAACAAGGTAGGTACAGTCCAATGACAACAAGGTGGGTACAGTCCAATGACAACAAGGTAGGTACAGTCCAATGACAACAAGGTGGGTACAGTCCAATGACAACAATGTGGGTACAGTCCAATGACAACAAGGTGGGTACAGACTAATGATAAGAAGGTGGGTACAGTCCAGTGACAACAAGGTGGGTACAGTCCAATAACAACAGAATGGGTACAGTCCAATGACAACAAGGTAGGTATAGTTCAATGACAACAATGTAGGTACAGTCCAGTGACAACAAGGTGTGTACATTCCAATGACAACAAGGTGAGTACAGCCCAGTGACAACAAGGTGGCTACAGCCCAGTGACAACAAGGTAGGTACAGCCTAGTGACAACAAGATGGGTACAGCCCAGTAACAATAAAGTGGGTACAGCCAAGTGACAACAAGGTAGGTATAGTCCAGTGACAACAAGGTGGGTACAATCCAATGACAACAAGGTAGGTACAGTCCAGTGACAACAAGGTGGGTACAGCCAAATGACAACAAGGTGGGTACAGTCCAATGACAACAAGGTGGGTACAGTCCACTGACAACAAGGTAGGTATAGTCCAGTGACAACAAGATAGGTACAGTCTAATGACAAAAAGGTGGGTACAGTCCAATGACAAGGTAGGTATAGTTCAATGACAACAAGGTAGGTACAGTCCAATGACAACAAGGTGTGTACAGTCCAATGACAACAAGGTAGGTACAGTCCAATGACAACAAGATAGGTACAGTCCAATGACAACAAGGTGGGTACAGTCCAATGACAACAAGGTGGGTACAGTCTGATGACAACAAGGTGGGAACAGCCCTGTAATAACAAGGTAGGTACAGTCCAATGACAACAAGGTGGGTACAGTCCAATGACAACAAGGTGGGTACAGTCCAATGACAACAATGTGGGTACCGTTCAATGACAACAAGGTGGGTACAGTCCAATGACAATAACGTAGGTACAGTCCACAGACAACAAGATAGGTACAGTCCAATGACAACAAGGTAGGTACAGTCCAATGACAACAAGGTGGGAACAGCCATGTAATAACAAGGTAGGTACAGTCCAATGACAACAAGGTGGGTACAGTCCAATGACAACAAGGTAGGTACAGTCCAATGATAGCAAGGTGGGTACAGTCCAGTGACAACAAGGTGGGTACAGTCCAATGACAACAGGGTGGGTACAGTCCAATGACAACAAGGTAGGTACAGTCCAATGACAACAAGGTAGGTACAGCCCAGTGACAACAAGGTAGGTACAGTCCAATGACAACAAGGTAGGTACAGCCCAGTAACAACAAGGTAGGTACAGTCCAATGACAACAAGGTAGGTACAGTCCAGTGACAACAAGGTAGGTACAGTCCAGTGACAACAAGGTGGGTACAGTCCAATGACAACAAGGTGGGTACAGTCCAATGACAACAAGGTGGGTACAGTCCAATGACAACAATGTGGGTACAGTCCAGTGACAACAAGGTAGGTACAGTCCAATGAAAACAAGGAGGGAACAGCCATGTAAAAACAAGGTGGGTACAGTCCAATGACAACAAGGTGGGTACAGTCCAATGACAACAAGGTGGGTACAGACTAATGATAACAAGGTGGGTACAGTTCAGTGACAACAAGGTGGGTACAGTCCAATGACAACAGGGTGGGTACAGTCCAATGACAACAAGGTAGGTACAGTCCAATGACAACAAGGTAGGTACAGCCCAGTGACAACAAGGTCGGTACAGTCCAATGGCAACAATGTAGGTACAGCCCAGTAACAACAAGGTAGGTACAGTCCAATGACAACAAGGTAGGTACAGTCCAATGACAACAAGGTAGGTACAGTCCAGTGACAACAAGGTAGGTACAGTCCAGTGACAACAAGGTGGGTACAGTCCAATGACAACAAGGTCGGTACAGTCCAATGACAACAAGGTGGGTACAGTCCAATGACAACAAGGTAGGCATAGTTCAATGACAACAATGTAGGTACAGTCCAGTGACAACAAGGTGTGTACATTCCAATGACAACAAGGTGGGAACAGCCATGTAATAACAAGGTAGGTACAGTCCAATGACAACAAGGTGGGTACAGTCCAATGACAACAAGGTGGGTACAGACTAATGATAAGAAGGTGGGTACAGTCCAGTGACAACAAGGTGGGTACAGTCCAATAACAACAGAGTGGGTACAGTCCAATGACAACAAGGTAGGTATAGTTCAATGACAACAATGTAGGTACAGTCCAGTGACAACAAGGTGTGTACATTCCAATGACAACAAGGTGAGTACAGTCCAGTGACAACAAGGTGGGTACAGTATAATGACAACAAGGTAGGTACAGCCCAGAAATAACAAGGTGGGTACAGTCCAATGACAACAAGGTAGGTACAGTCCAATGACAACAAGATAGGTACAGCCCAGTGACAACAAGGTCGGTACAGTCCAATGGCAACAATGTAGGTACAGCCCAGTAACAACAAGGTAGGTACAGTCCAATGACAACAAGGTAGGTACAGTCCAATGACAACAAGGTAGGTACAGTCCAGTGACAACAAGGTAGGTACAGTCCAGTGACAACAAGGTGGGTACAGTCCAATGACAACAAGGTCGGTACAGTCCAATGACAACAAGGTGGGTACAGTCCAATGACAACAAGGTAGGCATAGTTCAATGACAACAATGTAGGTACAGTCCAGTGACAACAAGGTGTGTACATTCCAATGACAACAAGGTGGGAACAGCCATGTAATAACAAGGTAGGTACAGTCCAATGACAACAAGGTGGGTACAGTCCAATGACAACAAGGTGGGTACAGACTAATGATAAGAAGGTGGGTACAGTCCAGTGACAACAAGGTGGGTACAGTCCAATAACAACAGAGTGGGTACAGTCCAATGACAACAAGGTAGGTATAGTTCAATGACAACAATGTAGGTACAGTCCAGTGACAACAAGGTGTGTACATTCCAATGACAACAAGGTGAGTACAGCCGAGTGACAACAAGGTGGCTACAGCCCAGTGACAACAAGGTAGGTACAGCCTAGTGACAACAAGATGGGTACAGCCCAGTAACAATAAAGTGGGTACAGCCAAGAGACAACAAGGTAGGTACAGTCCAGTGACAACAAGGTG